AAAGGCGAAGGCAGGAGCAAAGTAGTTTTGCAAATGATCAGACGAAACCGTCGGAACAGATCATACGCACTCGTGGAGGGCACGAACATCCTTCTCATAGGTGCTTGTGTGCATGTAGGGCAGAGGTGTAGGTTGAAAACCGTTTATGGGTCAGGGGCCGGGGCTGCTACACACAGTACAACCAGCTATACCCTGGACCTTGAATTCTTAAGCGCCAGGACTGTTACACTATGCTGTCCTAAACCCTAAGCCCGGGCCTCAAGCAGCTAGCCAAAGAATCCTACCACTAGTGGGGTTGCAGCACTCAAGCTCCGGAGAGGGCGAATCGTGTTGTAGGTCTGAGTGCTTTTAAGGGGACAACGAGGAGCGAGCCTCGTGCAACTGCTGCAGCCGCCGATGCCATAAACAGAAACCTCGGCCGGGCGGAATGCACGTTTGAAGCTTCAATCTAGATCTGCTTGTGGGTGGATTCGTTTGATTATCCGGCCCTCGCCCACCGCAGGGATCGAGCTGGAGTCTGATGGCGATGAAAGTTCTGAGGAGAATGTTGCACTGGCTACTCACATGTGCGATCCCCGGTAATTCCGTAGTTGCTTAGCTTGTCCGGGGTGGCTGGGTGTGTTGACATACTTTGTAGAAGCTTAGGTTCAAGTCGCTGGGCGAAGGTCGGCAGAGTGCCAAAGCCATCGTGGAAAATGCTTATGCGGCTGTCCAGGACCAAAGGGTGGGCCGTAGAATAACGAATAATGCACTTGTGCACAGGCTGATCATCTGTTTCTGAAGTGCATACTGCAAGGAAGCTGGAAACGAGAATGTGAGTCCCGTCACCGCCCGGGTCGCAAAGATGTACAACCACAAGCGGCTGGCGAACTGTGATCGCGATTTGTTTCGCTATTTGAGACTTCCTGTCGTGCCCTGACTAAATATTCCAATCGATCCAATGATTCCTGTCTTACAAGTCATATAGTTCCCTGACCACTTAGGACTTCAACTGGGTTACCGTACCTATCCTCCATCCTGAAGATCCAAAACAAAGGGTCGAGAAGGCTCTGCCGTTTCTGGATCCCCACGAATACATCGAGTACATATGGTCCACGCAGCGAATCTATATCCCTGACGACGAGATCGTGCATCTAGGTCGAAACCTATTTCTTAATCGCCCAAGCCTGTTAGTGAAGCACTCCCTAAATCAATCACAATAGCTTTTAGCATCCCTTGAGGCGGTATTGGAATCACTTCAGATCCCGTGGTGTGGGCTGGGCCGTCCGGCATCCTGCTGACGAGCACTGCATTCCCATCTCTGCACCTCGGACAACAACTATGCACCCTTAGGGGCCCCAGGTCCTTGGAACCCCAACTAACAATATTTCGCATACCCTATAATCCGGAATCCCAAAATCGCAACCCTTAAGGGGCTTTCTATTCAGGTCTATGGGGACGAGGCTCAGTTCACGAAGCAGGGAGATTCGTTTCTCGCACTGATGTTCACTTTCACCCTGCACAAATGCAAAGGCCGGTGTGAATCGGGGTTTAGGACATATTCTTCTCTAAATACGTGGTCTAGCTAGCTGATCGCAGCCCAGCCTTATCGTTACGTCATCCCTGTAAAGGCGAGCCATGGAAGAAGAACTTTACATACTTTGTTGTGAAATCCTTCTACTGTGCTGGCGAGGAGAAATTTGTGACGGTTACTTGACACGGTTTCGACTACTAAGAGGTTGTGGCTTCGGGGATCGCATAATTAATGCTTTGTTAACATTCTCATTTGGAGGAGACATTGAGGCCGATCTACCACAGGGCCGCATGGAGCTTTTCGGTGGCTTTTAGCGGCCGTCGCCCGAAAGCAGGCCCCAGCGGCACAGCTTCGGACTTGAGCAGAAGGCAATTGCAGCTGGCTGAAAGCAAACCCGAACTTTCGGGTCGGTATGCGGTTACCGAATACAAGGGTGATCAAAAGTATATGAGAGAGACTTTTGGCCTACTTCGCAACTGGCAGCGGGGTTTGATCTGTCACCGTTGCAACGCCGGCCGATTGGCAAACCATGGAGTTCTCTACACAAACTTCGGAGCAGACTGGGTCCGCCTTTCCCATACAGATGCACTTCTTCACGTGTTTCCGGCCAGCCCAAACCCCATGATTCTCATCCCGGGGTTCCATGTGGCGATGCTGACTCTTATACTTGCAATTGTAACTGCAAATACCCTAGGGCTCCAGTTACCTGTATAGTAGGTTTCTAACCATATACTATATACCCCAGTAACCTACTATTAAGGTAACTGGAGCCCTAGGGTATTTTGGTCGTTCAACCTAATCCTAATAAGGGGGGCAAGCCCTAAGTAAACAGTGAATTGGTCATATATTTTAATTCCCTGACCTATATCTCAGGCGAGGATGCACAATGCACATTCTCAACCTTGGAATCCTCCAGAATCTATGTGCGGAGGGGATTTTATGGCTCATGGAACACAATGTATATTGCGATGGCATCACCGAAGTTGCAGACAAACTTCGCCTTATCTTCAACGAGTTCAAGAGGTATTGCAAAATTCATGGTATCTCCTGCTCCCAAAGAACCTTCACGCCAGCAAACCTTCACTATGCCACCGGCGCCGACAAGCAAACTGACTATCCGTTCCTCTCAGCAAAAGCCTACAATTGTCGAGTGGTGCTGGCCTGGCTTGCAGAGTGTTGGCTGGCATTATGAAGCCACCCTTAAGTATTAATCCCAGGGCAATGCGACACCCCAACCCTTAACCCCGAGGCCCTAGACCGCCACAGCCCTAAACCATACGAGTATCCAGATAATCCGAGAATTCTTAATCTACGAACCCCAGCCCTAAACCCGAAGAAAGTAAACTCTAAATTCCAAAGGATGCAATGACCTCTTCGTCGACGCAAGCTGCTTTGAGGGCCCGACTGCAAAATGAGGATGATCCAGCATACCAGCAGCGGCTACAGCTTACGAGCCTGATATGCAGCACTGTGCATCTGTGCTGATACTATTTTACGAGATTTGAAGTGTTGCCCTGATAAGTTATAGGATCGTGACCCTATATGTATATATGGGCACATATAGCTACATACCATGTAGTCGTAGAAGAAAGCACGTGTACGGACACCCAATGCCTAGGCCTCCAAATCCGAAACTAAACCAGAAGCCCGGAGCCGCAAATTGAATTCGATCAGTAACCCCTGCACCCTGGAGCCCTAAAACCCTTTGCCACAAATCTCCAAACCCCTCAATCCAGTGAGCTAGGCATACGATCGCTGATTGGCAGCTGCTCTCTGAAAAGCTGCCACGTTTTCTGACGACGGTGGAATCCGAAGACCTCTACACCCGTGGTATGCGATTCCTGGTATTGTATCGTGAGTGTGCGAGAAGGTTCCTTGCCGAAGGCCGCTTGAGGTTTTTCCTTCGGCCAAAGATGCACGCCCCTTGCCTGTTTCGGTACCTATGTTGTGTGATTGAATATTTGTTGAATGAAGACCGGGCGGTTGGGTCCATCCATATGCATTCTTAGGCATACGAAGAAACTCTTCTGGACATCCGGTCCGAGGGTGGCTTGCTGCATCCATGAACAGCTTTTGTAGCTTGTTGTTAAATACCTTGATTCCAAAGGCATTTGCTCGACACCATAAACTGGCCGACTCAGGCTACAATTCGCGATTTCAACATTGCTTCTCGCAGGAAGACAGCCTTGGCTTGCTTAAACCTGTCTGTGTCAAAGCACGTGCCGGTGCTCACTTTGAACATCGTGTGCTAAAGCGGAGTTTGCTCAGGATCTGGGTGTTACAAAGACCCCGTCCCTACGCATACCCCTATAATTACAAACCTCGAGCTCCGTATTCCCTTAAGGCCCTGCCCCTGAAGGGTCGTGGCCGAGAAACCTCGGGAGCTGGTGCGATCGCAGCGACGTCCGCTGCAGTGAAAATCGCTCGGCCAAAGCTTCGAGGGTTTAGGATTGTGGGGTTTAGGGGTTTATAGTCTAGAGTCTAGAGTTTAGCCTAGGGCTCCAGTTACCTTTAATAGTAGGTTGCTGGGATAATATAATAATGGCTAGTAACCTCTATCATTTTTTGGCTAACTGGAGCCTTAGGGTAGGGTTTAAGGGGATCCTCGCGGGAGGCCCGGGTTATGAAGATGTTCTGGGAGTTCAGGGTTCCGGTTTGCAAGGGTGTGGCCATATGGAGGTGTTTTCGTATGAACCCGCCGGAAACCTCGTAAGGGTAAGATCTTCAATCGATATCCACAGTCAGAAGATCCTCTAATGGGTGCAGTCTAGCGGGTTTAAGGGCGATTAGGGATTTGGCGGTAACGGCTTCGGGATTCTACACTAGTACGGTAGCTTGAACGAGCGAGGCGGCAATTGCAAAGTGCTTATTGACCACACAACCACCCCAGCCCGTGGCTTCAATTCAATCCATATTAGTATAGTATAGTATATGTATATATACTTTAATATAGTATATATATTTTGGTAGATATTATAGTATATATTATTATATATATAGTATAAGTATATTATAGTATATCATAGTATATTTTAGTATATATATATATATATATATATATATTATAGCTAAATTATATAGTATATATTGTAATTTGTATATACCTATGGTTCCTGAACCACTTTCGGTTCCTGGCGTAGGGTCTCTTGCGGGCAAACATCCCCTATTCCGGGCACTGGGCCCAGTAACCTGCTATATAGGTTACCAGGATGTATTGGGTTAGATAGGGGTGGGATTTCATCTAGGGCTTGCTGCCAGGAAGTTGGCAATGACGATATGGGTTACTATAAGCAGTTGACTTCGAGCTGAAGCTAAAGAAGCTTCTCCAGGCTTCGCTTCTCAACAGAGGCGGCTTGTTACAGGGTTATACATATATATATATATAGAAGTATATATATATGGAGACAGTTATACGCTCATATTTGCATGTGCGTATATATATATATATATATACATTTATTTATCTATGTCTGCCAGCACTCGACAGGACACCAAAGTGGCGGAGCTGTCCCTGGTCAGATTTGTTTTTTTTCCGGCCGGAGGGTACATGTGTGCACATATGGATGTACGCATGTGTGTGTGTGTGTGTACATATACATGTGTACCTACATACACATATGTATATATGTATGTATACATACAAATATACATATATATCTCATACATGCATGCATGCATACACACATTTATGCATGTTTTCTTTAAAATCAGCCCCCAGGAAAAACTAAAGCACCACCCGAAACCCCGAAGCCTGAACATAAACCTATCTCGGCCAGGCAGGGGTTTCGGGTGCACTTAGGGGTTATTGGTTTAGGGTTTTATGGGTTTAGGGTTTAGCTTAGGGTTTAGGGTTTTATGGGTTTAGGGTTTAGTTTAGGGATTTAGGTTCAAAAATGCAGGGTGTAGGGTTTATGGCTAGAGGTTTGGTGGTTTTTGTCTCTTCAGGGGTACCCGGCAGTCGCGCTAGCCCTGGATGCGAAAAGTGGGTGTAGTTTGGTGGCGGAACTTGTTGTGCCGGTCATGAATATACACATTTTGGAATGTAGCGATAGAGGCCCCTAGCTTCACAGCAGAGGTTTTCACATCCAGGGGCTCTCTAGAACTATTGGTCTCAATGGCGGTCTTTCGGTTCGTACCTCAGAAGGAAGGTTTACGCTGGAGTGAATGGGCCTTTGTCTTCTTTGAAGTTGGAGATTTTCTTTGTGCACTCAACCGGAAATGATCTTGCACAGCCGCTACCCAGAAAACGCTTCTACATGAGCCCTTGCGGCTTCAGGGTAAAGTCTAGGCTTAGGGTTAGAAGTCGTAGTCCCTGCAGAGCCCAGCCCACAACCCTAAGTCTTGCATCAGCATGTTGGAGGTTCAGACAAGAAGGGACCAACAAGAGTTCCTACATGGTGTGATTGCAGGACCAGGCAATCTGGACTCCACATATTTAAGACACCCGCCACCTGTGTTCGGTCGCCCCCGTTCCTTTCCTTCTGGCCCCGCGCCAGCCCTCAGCCCTTTCTGCAACAGCCTTGAAAACACCATGCCCTATCACTGTAGCAGCAAAGTTCTCAATTCAGGGACGATCAGTGGAAAGAATTGTGATTTGCTCTTCTCGCATCGAGGCTGCAGAAGGCGCAAGAGCTCTGCGGCAAGAGCGAGGGGGCCCCTCCGGAGCCGGCAGGCGGCATGGATTCGATGGACTGAGCCGCCTACTGCAGAGGTGGTTTGGGGTTTAGGATCCCGATAGAAAACGGGAGTCAGATTGAGAGTCACAGGGCAAGCGCTCAGCAGGCCCGCTGATTTGCTAAGACAAACCTGAATCTGCACGCCATGATGAGAAAACACACACGCCCGATGCAAGCTGAACGCCGTCTTTCTTATGGTCTGAAGCCCACTTACCAATAAGAAGGGGCCTTGCGGTTTACCGGATACGGTCTGATTGTTTGGTGTCAGTCTGTGGGCTATTATGCCTACACACATTGAACTCTACTTAGCATGGCAACGCGCTATGAAGTTATACTGGCCACTTGGATTCTGGTGGGAAGGCATAAAGCCTCCGGCCTTCGTGCACGCCGATGAATTCATCACGCAAAAGCACGAAGCATCCGGGCTTTGGGCTGGTAGAATTTGACGAGGACCAGAAATATCCGGGTTTGATCACTTCCTTTCGCTGACTTTTCGCATGTATCTGTTCGGTACAACCTTGTCAGCACTGAAACCTTTGGAGTGTAGAAGGCTTCATGCTACAGCGGAAGCCGATAACTAGTGTGCCTCCGTGAGGCGGACCGACCCGGAGAGACGTAAACCGGAAACCTCAGAAGCTTTAGGATTTGGGGCTTTGAGGGTTCCGGTCCCGCAGTTAGCCGTGAAGCAGGCACTAAGCCCTAAACCTTGAGCTGTTATCTTTCAGGGTTTCGGCTTGCAGAAGACCCGAGATTTACGTACGAACTTCTTAACGTGCATGCAAGGCCCTGCAGCCAAAACCTCATTGTCGTAATCGCACTCGGCCTACGGATCCCAACCCCTCCCTTCTCGCGGATCAAGATTGGCGAGGTTGCAGAGCTATCGAACCCATGTCATGGGAAGTACTTGGACCACGGCAGTCGTTGTCAAGCCCGAACGGGACACGGCTTACCCTGCACCCGCAAGGCAGGAAACTGAGAAATTCAGAGACCCTGATAGATCCGACATACCAGGATCCTTACTTTGCTGAGCCTAGTTGCCTAATTTCATGACCCCTGACACTTGCAATACTGTTTAATCCCGACAGACGAACCCCGAACATAGGCAAGTCAGTACATAAAACCCAAAATCCAACATCATAAGCACGACACCCAGACTTCCCTGAACCCAACCCTAAACCCCATAAGCCCTAACGTAACAAAGCCCTCACATGCTGCGGTCTGCTGTTCGTGGTCACTACCGTCGCCGAGAGCCTGCTGCAGGTCCTTTCGGGGGAGGGAAGCCTCGCGGGTGGGATCATGGGGCTCCAAGGTTTTGTAAGGCTCTCCACAAGGGTCCTATACTGATATGGGCGATACTTTGAACCCTATCATAATAGTAATTCCTCCTGTCATAATAGTAATTCCTATTAGAGAAACCTACATTCAACCATATAACTCGGTACTTAGGACCTTTTGGGTTTCTAAAGAATTTTACTAGGGTCATCGGTTTTTCAAGCTTCCGAGGGTTCCGTGCAACAGATCTTCAGTTTTTTTTAAACATCTGCGGAGGTGGGGCGGTGTGCTACAGCATCTCGAGGTTGGAACTCAGAGGGTCTAGGAATTGAAGTTTAGAGGCTTGTTTTGCTGGTTATGACGGTTATGACGTTGTTTAATAGGGAGAAGGTTTCAGATAATTATAGTGGCTACGGCTCAAGTTTCGATGAAGAAATGAAGCTTGAGGCTTCTGATGGCCAGACACGCCGGGCTCCCGCAATACTCATCTATTAGAGTCTTAATAGGTTACATACGTATGTGTTCGCCTCGCCATCCGAGCAAAGCAGCCTTGCCGAGCCATGCGAGTATAACCGTCAAACTCAGCTCTGGGAAAGCCCAAGTCTAGTAAGTGTCCCGATGCCACGTGGGCAGCTCCCGGTATTCTTGTCAGGACTCCAATGTACGCTTGCAGAATGGAGCCAGTACTAGTTGTGTGATTGGTGTTTGGATAGATTACAAGAGACGGCAGCTATGCTGGTTCGCGCTATCCACTATCCTCCAGATCCTGCAGCCCCGAGCGCCAAGCCCAGAGCCCAAACCCGAACACTCCAGACCATGATACACGAAACTTGAAACTGCAATCCGTCCAGCCCCATAAAGCCCGATGCACAAGTAGAAGATCCGGTAACATCTTACAAGGCCCCGTATCTTGCAGCGCTCTCAAAGCTATGAAGTCCTATCGTATCACCACTAGATCCTCAACGATTCGCGCGTGTAAAGGATCACAGCCGCCGGAGGCAGGCTGCTTGCAGACAGGATCTTGCGAAGTTTTTCCCAAATGTTCGTCAAGGGCACTTTCATGTGAAAATATGGGGATTTGGGACCCCAACGAGTACCCTAAATGGTAAAATCCTTATCATAAGCACCCCCAAATAAGGCATCTATAAAGCGACATGTCGGGTTTAAGGGTGACTCGTGAATAATTGTTTGGCTTTCCGGCCTGTCTGTTTATAGGTGCTTTTGGCTTTTAAGTTTCGGGTGCAGGGTGTAGGGTTTACATTAGAACGGCATAGTCACAGAGGAATCCTATTCAGGCAACCCCAAAGCCTGCCTATGAAGGGTTATATGACACGATTCGGCTCAATCCCAACACTGGCATGCAGAAGAATGGGAATTGCTGCTCCTTGGACAGGCAAGCTTAAAACTTTCAATGCCATGTCTTAGAAGCTGCCCCCACCCTGTAATAGTGACTATAAGGATATTATTAGGGGCCTATTCCTATTATATTACTATTACAGGGTGGGGGCCCCTTCTAAGCCATGGTCCGGGTTCTGGGGTGTCGAGACTGAGTTAGAGCTCGGAGAGTCTCGCGGGCTCTTGGGTTTTCGAACTGAAGCCTCCGACAGAGTACAAAGGCCAAAGCCCATGTGACCGAGGGTTCGGGATTAACGAGGAATTGGGTTATTTGGCCGCTAAAGCTTTTACAATTTAGGTAAGAGTGGGCTTCTCATATGCAGCTTCTCCGCTGCATGGCTTTGCATTGGGGGGGTCTGTCAGTTTTGCGAATCTCCCACAACCGAAGCAGTTTGACTGGCCTGTAAATCCCGACGACTCTCTCACATTGCACGTGGTGCTTGCGGCTGTAGCTTCCATTGGATGCGTTGTAATCATGAGGTCTATGCCCAGGTTTGGCCAGGTAACTCAGCATGGGGAGCTTGAAGCAGTTGTTCTGAATAGTTTCCTCTTCCAGTCGTTGTAATCGAAGATAGAAAATCCTCCACACACGATTTAAATAATTTCTAACTGCTAAGGCCCGGAAAAACATGCAAGAAACCTCTCATTACCAAGGCCCCGATTTTTTGAAGACAACCTCTGCTTCAGTCTGCTTCACGTCTGCGTAGCGAACAGGCTTTGGTGTTGCAAAGCTGTTTGGATCAGGTAGAGGGCTTATATGGTTTGGGATTTAGGTTTGGTATCCCAGAAGGTCCATATATACATGCTACCGTACTACCCATTATGGAAGTGGGTCCCAAAAGGCCATTCTTGTCGTGGTCTTCCGGACCATAGTCCCTAATTGTAGCACTATGATACGGCACCTAATCTTCAGGGTACCCAAAACAAGGCCTAATCTTGACAACCACCCATATGTACACCCTCCAGAGTAAAGTGTCTATGCAGGTTTACACGGGTTTCTCTGATGTCCAGTGCATGAGACCTAGGGTGCTGTGATAGCATATGTACTGTGAACCTTTGATGGGGGTGCTGTCTTGTAAACAAGGTTACACAGGAGGTCCCGAAGTCAAGCCCGTCCTCATGGCTCCAAGGGCTTCAAACCGTGCTGTTCAGTTTCGCAACTCCAAGAACCTAATGGTGAGCCATTAATGCAAAAGGTGAAGGTTCTGTGATAGTGAAGCCAGACATTTGCGAGGCGACCGTCCCGTCAGACCAGCCAAAGGATGCAGCAGTCACTGAGGGTGAAGATGAAGAGGCTGGTCATGGAACTGCCATGCAGTATCGAACATATGGGTGGTTGTCAAAATTATGGCCCCTTTTTGGGTACCCTAAACATAAGGTTGCGTATTACATCGTATTACAATACGGACCCAATAAGAGACCATCATTTTGACAATCGCCCACTATGTCAGTTCTTCTATAGCAGACATAGAATCGCACCCACAAGCTAGGTGGGACTTTCTGTTTCGGGATGCCCTTTCTCAAGGACTCGGGAGCAGACGCACTCTGCTTCTGGATGTCGAGGTTTGAATTTTTCGAAGGGCGTGAGCACTTTGAGCTGATGCCCTGCCAATAGATAAATCCAAGACACCGCTGAAGTTACATGGTTTGTTTCTTCAAGCCTTGCTGTTTTCCGTGACGACTGGATGTACGCGTGATTACATGTGCATGCACATGTTTGTAGAAACTACTGCAGTGAAATAGCGGGGATAGAGTTGTAGTTCAGCTGCGGCACAGTTTGTGTCCGTCATATTCACGAGTTGCCCACTCCTTCAAGAGCGGGTGGATGTCTACCGGTGTGGGGTCTCGTGCCGTGTTACAGAAGCCGCAGTGGGCAGCACTGCCAGAAGTTTGTTCGTCCCATGACTCCAGGTTTATGAGTCGGACATTTGTTCAATATGGCTAGAGGGCGCCACACGCCTCACAGTTGCAGCCTAAACCAACCTATCCAGCCGGCTATTGCTAGGATGGTTGCAAATTGCCCAACTATACGTCTGTGGAGTACGGGGGTGCGTATGCCATATGCATTGCGATGTGCCCCTGCGTTCTTAACCCAAGTCCCTAAACCCCACAGCGTGACACCCATGAGCCTCCAATAGCCTCCATACGATGGACCATTCGCTTTGCCTCCTTCCCAGAAGCCGTAGAAGCCCTGAGATAATTCCAGACGGCAGAGCTCAGAGCTCCCGAATTCCGCCGCTATTGAATCTCAGCCATCGTAGCTTGAGCTATTTCGGCTTGCATGTCGGGGTTAGGGTTCTACAGCGGCTATGACAAAGGGTGTGTCGTTAGCGATTTGGCTTCCAGTTTGTTTTTGCTGTGGACTTCGTGCATCATGGGGATGTGCTGCGCCAGGGACCGGAAGGACTTGCATGGTTCATGGCCACAGGTCGTGTAGGGGTATTCGTGCGAGTAAACAATCCACGTGTACAGTACTTGGGCTACTGGCCACTGTCTTGGCACAATTACACCAGCGCTAATTTGAGTTTGGGTTGCTATGACGGATGAGGTTGGTAGCTTGCTATTACGTATTACTAGCAGCTAGCAGTGAACCGGACGGCGCAGGTTAAGGATCAGTTGCGGGAAAGAGGGCCGAGCAGCCACAGTGGCAATTAGACAGCAGACGCAGCATCTCAGCAGCCGCAGCCGCAGCAGCAGCAGCAGCCCGAGCCGCCCGAGCAGGAGGACTAGCACGATGATATTGATGGTGCTGGTGATGATGGTTTTGACTCATTGGCTGCAGCATGTCAGCCCTTGTTCAGATACCTTTTTCCACTCGTAGCAGCATCAAACTCATGTTCAGATGTTGTTCACCGACTCAGTGTTGCAAAGGTATCAGGACCAAGGGACCAAGGAATGACCAATGAATGATTCACATGAGTGTGGCACCTGCTCGCGAGATGGATTTGCAGGTGTGTCGGTTTAAGAGTATAGAGGCTAGTCGTCACCATCATCATCGTCGCCGAAGGAGCAGCAGCAGCAGTACCAGCAGTGACGGGGACAAATGGCACCAGAACGGAACACAGCAGCCTCCAGCAGCAGTAGTAGTCGTCGTCGTCGTAGTCGTAGCCGTCGTAGTCGTAGTCGTTGTGGTCGTCGTCGTTCTCGACGTCGCCATGTTCATAGTCGTAGTTGCAGTCATCGTCTTGCTCGTTGTGGTCGTTTTCGTCGTAGCAGTGCTATAGTTATGCAGTATATAGATGGCATGGTTGTGTAGTCGTTGCAGTAGTAGCAGTGGTGATAGTGGCAGTTGTTGTTGCGGTAGCCGAGGCCGTGGCCGGAGCAGCAGTAGTAGTAGTCGTCGTCGTCGTAGTAGTAGTAGTCATCGTCGTAGTGGTAGCAGTAGCAGGAGCGCCAGCAGGAGTAGTAGAAGCAACGGTAGCAGTGGTAGTGGTGGTTAGTGGTGGTTGCAGTGTTACTGGCATCCGCAGCAGGAGGCGGAGGAGCAGGGGGAGGAGGTGAAGTTTCAATAGTCACGCGAGTAAATCGCTACGCAAATGATTATTTTAGTAGGTAGCAGCAGGGGTAGCGCTAGCCATTGCAGGGCAACACGTCACATCAGCGAGAATAAAAACTCATGATTTTCTCATGTGTTGGGCTAACGCGTCAGTGTGCATCAGGTCCTGATTTTTGGTCTGATTCAGTCTGGTTGCGAAGGAGCGAGAGATCCATCTGCAGAAAGTAGATGAGATCTTCACGCGTTATGATGAGAATCAGCCGCTTCTCTCGCAGATCCGGTGCGTGAAGGTGTTTAGGTTTCACGTTCCGGAGCTTCTAGCGCAAAACCTAGAGCCTGTCTAGAAAACCATGACCGGGCATGGCCATCAAGCTAGGAAGCCCCTGCGTTTTTGGCGTGGTCCGTCTGGTTAGATGGTGCGTATGTAGTTAGTAGGTGAGAATAGGTTGTCGTATGTGCTTGTACTTAGTGCAAAAGTAGTTGTAGAAAGTTTCAGGTAGTAAGGTTCGCATGTAGGGTTTTCGCAGGTTGCAAGTAATCCATACAGTCTTGAAATCACATAGTAATATGATGGGATTTTCATGTATGCATTTGTCGGCAATAAATTTGCTGCATGGGCGTGGGTGGCATGTGCATGCAAGTGGTTCAAATATTGGTTAGGAACAGCGTGAGGGGGCCTTTCCTTTAAAGTGCAAGACAGTCTTTGTAAAGCTCTACACCCTAAACTATCCTGAACTCTGAGCCCTAAATCCTAAACCTTGGTCCTAAACCCTGCAAACCAAAACTCGGCAGTCAGGAATGGCGAGCTCGAGGTGAAGGAGCTTGCAAACTTCCTGCGCGATGCCTTTCCAGGCCCCTCTGATGGGTTTGGGGTTTGGGGATGAGGACGTTCGCCTTGACGGTTTTGGATGGTTTAGGGTGTCACTGGGTTAAGTGTTTACCCTCCAGGTACACAGATTGTTGGGTTCAGGGTCGTGTGACGAGTTTAAGGCTTCAAGGTTTTGGGATTGGGGAAAGGGTCCTGGAGGACATCCATTCCTTTTGCGCTTCGGTGCATGTCCCGGTTGGCAACAACAGCGGCCCATGCGCGCGCCTGCAAAACCCTTTGAGCCGGGGCTGCGGGCATTTGCATTTCTTGGCTACCAGATAGAATTGCAAAGGGCGTTTTAGTCAGTACTCCAACTTATCATACTTCAGACAAATTAAGTACAGGGCTTGGGGCTGGTAACCTTGGGGGTGTAGAGCACGGCATGTCGCCATGGGTTTGTAACAGCTGATAGAGTTCGAGAATATACAGTGTGCACCTGGATACCGATTGCTCTCGAACGCCCGGCTACCTGAACCCTAAACCCTGGATCATCCCAAAAAATTGAAACGATACAGAAAAGATTAGAATGGACACTGCGCACAAATCGAGAAGTGTACCATTTGTTTTCTGCATTGTTCGAGTTGCGAGAGTCCAAACCCTAAAGAACTCTTGGACCGAAGACAGCCTGCCAGGAACACAGCTCACGGATGAAGAGATTGCCACTTTGACAGCGGAGTTCGATGCCGATCAGAGCCTGGGACATGAACCAGCTTGTTACAACATTTTGTTATGCTTGAGGTTAATTATTGTTGTTATTCTTCTAATAGTCAGTTTCGTATGACCATTGTTTTATCTTGTTCATTTGTGTTATGTATTGTTAGTAGCAGCTCAATCATCGCAGCATATCCCAAAGCGATGTTCAACTTGTGGAGGCGGCCCCCCATTTGGTTTGGTCTCTCGCTTAGCCTTTCGGGGTGCTGTCGGGGGCCTTGCCCTTTACTCATCTTCCCCAAAATTAACCAGCTCATGGACCGAGCCCTCACTTACGGAATCTTGCGGTATCCCTCAGGGCCCCCTATTCTAATTTAGAGTATATAATAATATAGTTCCCCGTAGCCTTAAACTCCCTGATTTCGGACCCTCGATGGTCACTAGAGACAGCAAGTCCTCCCATAAGGATCCAGATACTTGGCAATCATGCTCCTAGCTGCGGGGCTACTAAAAGTTGCGGCTAAGCGCGAAATCACGTTTCACTTCAACTTGCACGGTGATGCTGCGCATGCCCTGTGAACCCAAAAGGCTCAGCACCCCGAGCCGAGCACCAAACCTCAAGCCCCACAGCACCCCGAAATCCCCCTAAACCCGAAACCCACGCAGCTCTAAACGGACCCCATGTAGGAAGCAGTCTGCGGAAGTACAGTCACTTTATTTGCTGATATGCTGTTGTTGCTTGTCATCTTGACTACTTTCTGTAGTTCGTTTCACTCTGCCAAACTCCGAACCACATGCCTCGCCTGGATTGTGCGAGCGTGAGCGCCGAAATGCAGCCTGCCTCGTGCGAGTGAGAGCCCCACCAAACCCCCGAAACCCCGAAGCCCCTAAAGCCTCAAGGAACGGCACGATCGGTTTAAATGAGCTCCGGGCCTTCCTCCGCTGCTACGATGCGGAGCAGCCTCTTTCCTGCATTTTGCTTTTCGAGGCTTATGTAGGGCTTCAGGGTTTCTAGAGTTCTTTGGGTCTGAGGTATACAACCCGCATGTTAATCCTGTAGGCATCGGTGTTTGCATTTGGCGCGGTGGAAGTTCTTCTGGTGTGTAGCGTGCTTGCGACCATGTTGTGGTTTCTTACCTGGCACCGCCGAGTGCGAGAGTCGATACAGACATTCGTATGAGCTGTTTTTGGAGGGTTCCTGTCGGACCGCAGGGTGGCGTTCAATTGCATTGTTTTTTTCTGTTCCTGTAGGGTTTGCCTTTTAATGTACAAACCCGTAAACTTCCGTAAGCCCTAAACCGATTTGGTGGTGCGACTTGGGCAGTTGGACATGTCGGAAAAAAAAGCAGAATAACCGAGAGCGGCCGACACTGGAAGAACGCTGAACACCATTATAAGGGCCGTATTGACTAGAATATCGGGTTTTGGTGTATTTTATATTGTATTCATAAGGAACCCCAAAACTAGTGTAGGGTTGAGGGGTTCAGGGTTAGGGTTAGGTGGTCATTGAGACCGCTATGGTACGGTCGCTGTTGTCGCGAGGTCGGCAATGCAGAGGAAGTCCGCTCTCGTGGTGATCGATGTGCAGAGCCTTGCTCTTATTTTTAGGGTTTAGGGGTTTTTGCTGCGTTCACACAAGACCCTAGATCCCATATACGTATAGGAGTTTCCGAAAATTCGGGGTACCTTATTTCGGGGTCCTTGTAATAAGTATCCTACTATTTAGGGTATTACATAAGGGTCCCCTATTTTCAGAAACTCCGCTAGGTACTTATCCTTCCACACCTCAGCCGGCAACCCTGTGTGTCGTCAGGAATGATTTTATCGATGGCACTCTGGCCAACAAGTACGAGGCAGAGAAGATCGCGCCGTGGCACAAGAGACGGAAGGAAGCCAACCCCAGAGCCTGTAGACCTAGTAGTAGTGACCTCCTTAGGGTACTTTTTTAAAAGTAAATCCCTATTTAATGCCAGTATACTTCCAAAGGTTAACCTTCGGTTCCCTAAGATACTAGACGCGTATTGAGAAGATGAGAAGACCAGCCCCACTGGGCATGCAGATTTCCTCAGGAGTCTTTACACCCCAAATCCACATTTTCCAGGACTGAACTGGGGGCAACAGTGTCTCTTCATGGCAATAACTTATACTATACCTCCCCCGCAGAAGCTCTTATGGTTCGAGTTATCCAGGCCCCTATGCTAAGCTGCGAACCTTCCGTGCTTCTCGGGCACACCCATCCCAGTGGAGACGGACTTGACCGCTTCAATGAATTGTAGGTGTCGCCAGCGGTGCTTCTCTGGATCACTACTCCTTCCTAAGCCCCGAGACCTAACATCGCTTTGCATGCTTATCCTGCCTGCTGATGTCCTGAGTGCTGACCGTGACATGAAGATGGTCTTGTCGGCTCAATCTTGTGTAGCGTCGACACTGAAGAGCTCGGGTTCAGGGTCTTGGGCTGGAGGGTGTTGGGTTTAAGGGTTTAGGGTTCAAGGGTTGATAAGTTAAAAGTGTGGTGGCTTCAGGCTTTTATTTTCACCCGACGCCCTAGAACTGAAATTCTGACTTGCAAGGTACCCATCATCAATCAGATTCGGGACGACTTTGATGTGGTCGTGATCTCTTATGACTGGCATCCGCACGAGCGACTTGCTTTAAGCTTTGCCCCCCGCATCTGAAAGAATCAGCGCCTTACTCCTCCAAACAACATGGACTCGCAAAAAGGCACATTTTTTGATTGCCGTGCTTGATGGCGGGGGGTAGGGCTTTCTCTCCGGGGTTCCTGTTAGTTCGGGGCAGGGCAGCCAAAGAAGCGAGTAACGTGATTGCAGCTTGGTAATATATACTTCAACCTGAAAGTATGCGAAAGTTCTTCTTGCTTTCAAAGGTGTCGCCTAATCCTTAAAGTATCCTCGAGCATTGAGACTGTTTGGCTGCGGCTTGGGGTTGTTGGTGGCTTTGATTGTGAAGGCCTTGGGGTGAATTCACAAGCCCTCTCTGCATCCGTTGTCTGCAGAGGGGAAGCGTGGGAACAATGGGGAACAGAGGGAATCTGCTCAGTCGAGGTTCGTTTCGAGGAGCCCGCAAGGAAGGGTTCTCGACAATTCCGCTCAAGAAACAATCGCATGTATCGTCAACAAGTGTCAGTCTAGGCACTACCCAGAGGCTCCATAGTAGTTCCTTTTTGGGCTTACCGTATAGGATTCTATATATGAACCCCAAAAAGGAACTACTTTGGAGCCTTAGGGTATCGAAAACTGACTTACACTGCTGTGTTCAGACATGGAGGCGATTGATTAACTAAGCCGAAAAATATTGCTCATCCCGCGACGGACTCATGCTGCCGAGGCACTGCTCTTTCGTTGAGAGCGCCAACGATGGGAAGGTGGCGCTACAGGAAACTGACAAGGCGGCAACTGCCTTCAGGGAAAGCATGGTCCGAGATAGCAAAACGGACAACTCTGCGATACGATGGTTATGCTAGCAGAGCGAGTCCCGAATGTGAAGCCCATAATGCCATAATGACATGAATAATGCCAAGTACATGTCGATGACGGTTTATGTGTTTGCAGATCTTTGCAATGCATGATGTGTAAGAGCATTACATGAGAGGACCTCAAAGGCCATGCTCGATCCATGCATGTGCGACTCTGCTCCTAGGCGTTCCTCTTCGCGGCATGGGAAAAAGTTCTGAGGCGTCTCGAAATACACGAACTTGTCGCTGACGTGGTACCTCCGACACCAATGTTGTACGCACTGATAGCTTCCTGGTAGCCGCAGACTTTACAGAGTCTCCATCTCAAACTGAAGCCCCATGACAGTTGACAGTTGTTGGGGTCCTTGTTGTGGTAGTGACGAGATGCCACCGCTGGGATACCCTCTCATGCCTTCCACTCCTTAAGGAGATTGTTCGCCGTGGTATCGAGGTTCTTGCCCTAAACCCGGTTCCGAGGATGGGGCGTGTAAGGGGTGATGACTGGAAGAGCGAAGGCCTGAAAACGAGCAGGTTTAAGTTTTGGAGCAACACTTGAGATTCTACTACTACTACTACTACTACTACTACTACTACTACTACTACTACTACTACTACTACTACTACTACTACTACTACTACTACTACTACTACTACTACTACTACTACTACTCCTACTCCTACTACTACTCCTACTACTACTACTACTACTACTACTACTCCTACTCCTACTCCTACTCCTACTCCTACTACTACTACTACTACTACTACTGCTGCTACTACTACTACTAGAGCTTGGAGAGGGAAGGGCTGATATACTGCCCCAGCCGAAAGCCCTGAACCAAGCCGTTCCGAGTGTTCAGGTGGGCAAGTTTGAGCCGCTGCTTGACTGCAACCGGATGTAGAGTTGGGGGTTAGGGCCAGGGAGCCAGAGATCAGGCAAGATTAACTTACAGGATCAGGAGGAAGCGAGTGTTCAAAAAGAAAGAGATCAGGCAAGTGTAGGTCCCACACACCAGAAACATCTTAGATGCCAGACCTCCCTCTGCGCCAAATCCTAGACTTCAATCCCGAACAATCTGCACTAAACCGTAAACCTTTTTCCCTAAAGCCTAACCCCAGCCACAAGGCGGCACTGAGGGACGAGGCTTTAAATACAAAACGTCACCACCCCGAAGCGAAGTGGCATAGGTCGAGAGTGAGAGTGTGAACCTCCATTGGGAAGGTTCCAGACTGTGACTCTGCTTAGCGACCCCGATCGCGCCGGCCATTCCCAAATGCTCTACCCGAGGCACATTGGGCACAGAGCTTTGGCACACGGATTTCCAGCCTGGACCAAAGATAGAACTTCTTCGTGTAAGAAGATGAAATGCCGTTGAGTGAAACATTTGCCGCTGCCAGAAACCCTAAACCCTAAACAGTGCCCTGCTTCCATCCTGTGCAGGCATGCGGTCCAGGATGCTGATGGAGCGAAGTGCCACAAAGACCTCGTCTTAAAGTCCTCAGACCTCTCCGTCTACAAAGGCGCGTGGTCCAGAAAGGTTTATGCACTTTAATCTGTTGGTTCAGGTCCGCCTTTTGTTGTTTCTGCCTCGAACACCTCTTTCGGCCGTTTCATGTGATCCGACTTACGTTGTGATGTTCGGCCCCTCAAGGCAATTGGGTTTGCGGGATGGGATGGGCCAATGCTGCTGATGGACAGAATCCCCCGGAAGATCAGAACACATCCTAAATGCTATGTTGGCGGCTCCTTGTTATAATTATGGTATGATGGGCTTATTCTATAATCTGATTATTCCGGCCCTTGTGATGTCCAAAATTTAGATTTAGGGTCCTTGAAGCAATGCAGGTCAGTGTCTATCAGCATGTGCAGGAGGTCTGAAATCTGGGGTCAGTTTCTGAGCCATTCAATCCGCAGATCTGCATCCCGGCGACCATTTCCGACATAGCGTAGCCTTTACAGTCCTTAGGCAGCGTAGCCTTTATTCTAGTCCTTACACAGCGATACTGTGATACACCACTCCTCACAGAAAAAACTAGTCTTATTACTGAGAATGGATTTAGAGTACACTGACCTGCGAGGCGTCAAGCCCAACATCGATTCCTATTCTGCCTTCTTCGACAACTGCAAGGCGGCTGGGAGCATTCCGTAAGCCCCAAGTGAGCACTCAATTCCTGCCCAGGATGGGTTCCATAAGGGGTACTCTTTTGGGGCTCTATGCAGGTTCTACAAGAGTGCTACAAGGGCTCCGTGATGAGACAAAGAGCTTCAAATCGGCTGTAGGACGATCTTTGAGAGCTTGGGCAGGGGCTGTCTTCCCAGACATGAAGCTCCAAACCCAACACCCAAAGCCCTTTACGATTCCTTATGCAACCCTCCTAAGCCGCTGATGGATCGCTCACGCAACCCACAAGGCCCCAGCCGCGTAATCAGCGTAATCATTAAAACCAATAAAGCTGGTCGCACGCCGGCTGAAAAGGCGAATGATACTGGCCTGAGGCTCATGCTGGAGGAGAACAAGGCACCCACTTCTTGCGGGTTTAAGAACTTAAGATCTAGCAGCCTAGCTTGCAGGGGTTGCTTAGTGTGAGAAGCCGAGGTTTGGAGTTTAGACTTTCGTGGGTCTGGATAAGGGTCTGACAGGGCTTTGCAAGGTTGCATTTTAAGTTTTGGGATTTCCTTCCGCGAGGTTTCGGCTTTAGCTTGTGCTCTGATTGCAAGGGAGCTTTGGTTGGCATACAATCCAAGCCCACGCTGCAAAGGGCTTAAGGTGCGGGGGTTCAGGAATTGTGCTAGTAGGGTTGGCATCCAAAAGACTTGGGGTTGTGTTTCGAGTGCTTAGGGTCTAGGGCCTAGGGCTTAGGGCGATGCAACACCTTAAAACATCAGCAAAAAGCCCCTGCCTCTATGCCCACGACACAGGTTATCTTGTGGGCTGCTTGATTGTACCTGTTGTTACCCTAAGGCTCCAAAGTAGTTCCTTTTTGGGGTTCATATATAGAATCCTATACGGTAATCCCAAAAAGGAACTACTATGGAGCCTCTGGGTATCGGCCGGCCGAGAGGTCACGGACGTTTACTGTGTCGGACTGGTCTTCGACATCTGTGCACCTTCGGCTTCAATCAGCTGCTTCAGGCTTGGGGCTCTGGACATGATGGATATGATTCCCGCTATTTTGGGCTTTAAGATAACTGACCATAATAAGAAAACTTTTTTAAAAACAAAAGAACTGTAGATCCCCAGTATGGTAAGTTAAGTTAAATTCCTGAACAAGAGCCCAGTATAACCGTGAAGCCTGGCTCGAGTGAGCTAGGCCCTCAAAACAAAGTCTTGGCAGCCTCCACCCTACTTCCTCAATCCTTACACCTAAGGCTCTAGAGCGTAATCTCTGTTTAGACCCTGAGCCCCGAACACCCGCCACTAATCCCTAAGACTCAAAACCCGGTTCGGTTTCCCTGCTTCGAGTTGATATGATGGATCACTTCTGAGTCTTGCAGCGATTTGGGCGGCGAGTTTCAATGACGCTCTCCCGGATGTTTAAGGTGTGCCAGAGCCGTGGCTCAGGTGAGGTGTTCCTCGTAGGGTTTTGAGGATGTAAGGGTTTCGAGATCTCGACTGAGCGGCAGTTTTCTGAAGCAGCGCCAAGTGTCTGATTCGTAGTAGCTATATACACTACTCATCTGCGGATAGCCTTACCCCCTACAGAACTGACACTTTAAACTTGTCGGTGTTTATGAGCTCCGCCACTAAAAATCCTTAGTTGTTCCTTCCAAGTTTCAGGTCAGGTCGGAGGGTCTACCCTCCTCCTCTGATGACTTAGCAGTTTCGCAAGCCGTGCAAGCCCCCCATCTGTACCACCGTATCCAGCGTCAGCTTGTCGGTTATCCTCAAACCCCGAACCTTGAATACCAAACCGCGAACACATAGAAACAAGAGCAGTGCCCGCGAACAGACAAAGCCTACACCCAACACCCTAAGCCCCTGTTAAGATCCTCACGTCACCCTTATGGAACCTTTTCAGAACCTGTGTAAACCCGTTTCTAAGCTCGAACCTCCACATCCTACGCCTCAACCTCTACATCAAAAGCCTACACCTCTAAATCACAGGTGAAGTCGTCTGCCTTGCACGGCGCAGAGCTCGGCTTTCGCGTCTCCGTGATCGAAGTCGCTTGGCTGAGAGGAGGGTGTAGGACGGGGCCTGGTCGAGGGTAAAAGGTATTTTCAGGTTCTTTTCAGGTTTTTTTGCAGTGGATCTTTCCAAGATGCTGCAGCGGAGCTCTCTCTCTCTCTCCCTCCTTCTCTCTCTCTTTCCCTCTGTGTCTCTCTCATGTCCTTGGTAAGCACATACAGGAGTGTATAAAGACAAATGCAAACACATAAAAGGAGAAGCCCTTATATTACCCTAAACCCTGATCCCGAAGCCCTGAAACCCGACGAGCTATGTGGAGCCTTGCGTGCCTGGTGCGAGTGCGAGCGTCGAAACCCAAAGAGCTTTGGAAACCTTAAAAGCCCTTTCAAGAGAAGCATTCCAAAACCCCCCAGACACCCCACCCAAACCCAGCTCGAAGAGCAGGAAAACTCTTCAAATTATGGATCAGGATGCCTTGAGCCTTGAATTCAACCCTAAACCTTAAACCCTAAACCCCGAACCCGAAGCCCTCAACTCCCACAGCTTCGTTACAGAAATCCGGAAAGACACCCCCAAAACTCCCAAAGCCAGGATGCGTGCAGGCCCCTGTCCGAAACTGAGGCCTGCCGGCACCAAGAACCCTTGGGGGTTCCTTTTATATAACTACAGGGCCCCCAGAACCCTATTCTAATTATTAAGGCCCCTGCAATACGGAATTTGGCTCCAAGTTTGCAAGTTTAGGGTAGGATACAAGAGGGTAGAATCAAAGTATAGATGCCTAACAACGCTAAGGCTCCCTTACATCCGGTTGTTGTGGAGTCTTAAAGACTCCGAAGCTTGTCTCACGAATATGCCGTAATATACCTAAGCTGTTGGTTTAGGGTCTCGTAACGGCGACCAACCGTAGTCAAGGAGTAGAATTATGCTAAGGATCGTTGTATGATGGAAGGTAAACTCCCGAATGAAGGGTTTGTACCCAGAGGGCCCCAATTAATTTGAACCGAATTCAGGATATTATAGTGGAGTTTAGGGTTTAGGGTTTAGGGTTGGGTAGAGTCTAAGTAAGGATCTCGGAATCGAGGGTCTTTTCAGTGAATCCCTTTCTCAAGGGCCCTACCCTGCTACCCGGAAGGTCGGGATCCTAACAAACAGGTGCTTTCTTGGGCTTCGCCTTAGGGCTTGCGAGGTATATAGCTTTGCTCTAGACTTACCTTTGCTTAGTAGGGAATGGAAGAATGGTAGTAGCTATAATTGTACCCCATGCCTCCATTCCCTACTAACCAAAGGTAAGTTATAGGATTATTAAGCCCCTATTATTATAGTACCCTTATAGATCCCTTATAGTAACCCTTATAGATCCTACTAACCAAAGGTAAGTAGAAGGCTCTTTCGACTCCATCCCCAAGCTGCTTTCAGGTTTGAGGGTTCAGGGTTTAAGGATTCTTGGTTCGATCTTTTAGGGGTACCCGGCAGTTCGAAGCGGCCTGGGTGCAAAAAGGGTTTAAGGACTCGGAGGGCCCCGGCTGTAAAAGAAAGAATACTTGGTTACTACTTGTTGAGGGTTTCCATGGGTTTTTGCAGGGTATACCAGCAAAAGCCTGGTCTAGATATCATTAGATCTTCGGGGATATATGGCTTGAAGTCTCTTGCTAGTTTTTTTTTAACATAGGGCCCCAGGCCCGAACTGCAACAAGGACAGTACATTCAATGTACATGTAGAGTGTAGAGGCTGTCTGATATAGGTACTTGGAGGCCAGAGTCTACACTGGCGGATGCTGCTTGAGGGTCGACGGGTAGCATACTCGCATCCATATTCAACTGCTACATTCTGCTAGACTTTGCTTCATGCTTTATACTTAGCCATCATCGTGCACATAGGGTTTAGTTTACGGTTTGGGGGTTCGAGGTTTTGGGTGTGAGCTCGGGGACGATCGCAGGCTTCGGGCACTTGCCCAAACCCAGAGCCCAACATTTAAAGCTGATGAGGGGCCCTTGTTTGGACAGCGCATGTGCTCAATGATACGTAAACGCTTTGGGTCTTCATCTGGCGTCTCGCACCTACAGAGAACGGCACATGATCGTAGTTTGAATGTGGACCCCAGGTTTGTTCCATATGTTATATGAGCATACACCAACATACCTCTTCGAACCCCTATATCAGCGACACCGGTTTATGACTCCGGCCTGCACACAATGTCCTGCACGCGAAAAAGTTCCCCATACACGGAACATTACATAGAAAGGTCTGGAAGTCTGGAGATTACAAATAACAAGAAAGGCTCGTCGTAAGGAGCCCAAAACATCAGGGTTTACTGTTATGAAGCCCAGCCTTGAGCTTGGCTTGCTTGAGCAGCGGCGCAGGTCGGCCCGACCAAGGATGTCTTGAACAAGGCATGATATAGGAATGCAGTGGAACTCGAAGATTGCAAGGCTGTGCAACAGGGACACGAAAGTACTCGGTTACAGCCTTTGCATCCGCTCCTGGACACTGCATTGCTTGCGATACAAGAAGGCGTAGCACATGAGCATGCTATAGGGGTCAGATGACTCTTCTCTTATATCATCGTACTTTTTGGGGTTTAGACTGCAATCTACAACCAAACCTGGTTCTGATTACTGAAGGCCCCCTGCACTGCAGTCTTCAACTTGTGTGTTTAGGCTTCAGAGCTGAGGGAATGTCCATCTTGAAAGCCAGCTAGCTTTGTTCTGCGAAACGGGGTGTAGGAATTAGGGAACTTGCGATATGGGATTTAGTGACCCTTTAAAGGACCCTTATATTGTATCCCTTATGGTAACCTTTTACTAACTTTATGGTAACCTTATGGTATCCATTTAAAGGAAGCCCGAAGGTAACTTTCGAGGCGCTGCGAAGCTTTCTCTGAACTTCGCACTAGACCCTGCGCCCTCATACACGGCGCCGCATGTAGGTCTCTGGTGTGCTTTATGTACATGGCTGCCCGACAGCTGTGATTTGGAGCAATTTTTAGCGGCTAGGCTTTGCCAAAAAATGTATCACACTCGAAAACATCCGCGCGAGGCTGGTGTTAACGTTCTCTCCTCCGCGGCAGCAGTGGAGGAGCCCTGGTCAACCTGGGGACCCCCCAACACCAGGAGCCTGCAGCCCCTCTTCCGTGGATTTTGAGGCCGCCGAACTCCTGAAACGCCCGAGCCTCTATAAAGTTCAGCCGAGGATATCGAATCCTACAAAACCTTGTCAACACGCATCAAATCCAAAACTGTTGGGGTTGAGCGCGAGCTTTGGGGCAGATGTATCCAAGGTCCGACAGAGTAGCATTGCGCTATCTATGTACAGCACCACCCTAAACTCCAAGTTTCAAAGTAAACCTGAGATCTTGTTGTTTGAACCTTAGGCACAAACGCTCACCCGACGGGCAGCCAACAGAGTGCCTTTCCGAGTCGGTCAGCCTATGCTTCAGGAAGCAAAGAAGATTCGCACAACGGCCAAGATGGAAGTCAAGGACCAGTCGTGCCGTCCGTTTTTTTGATTTTGGAAGCTGTCTGAAAGTCATGACAGCCTTGCAGCCCTGATGCTGCTGTTTTCAATCGAGCCTGTGTATCTAATCTCAGCAAGTGCGTTTCTCGTCAGGACTATATCAAGCAGGTGAAGCAGCACAAGCACGCGTCCTCACTGCATCGGATGGAGACACTTTCCTCCCATGCACCCCAGTGAGCAGGAGTGAGCCCACATGCATCATGTGGCTTCCGACCCCCATGGGTCCGGGAGTATTGCTTTAGGGCTTTGTGGGTTTCGGTTTTGGGTTCATGGTTACGGCCTTTGGTTTTGGGGTCTTGGGTCTTGGGTTTGTGTCGGCATGCTCCTGCCGTGCTAGACCTGCTCTGAGATACCGTTTCTCCAGCAATGAAACTGGACTTGCAAAGCAATCCACGGACAAAATGAACTTCGCGGAGATCCCTTTGCTGCAGTTGTGGAGCCAATACAAGGGTGCAACAGCTCAACCAGTCAGTATGTATGTAATGCAGTTTCAATGTGGATGACATGCTAACCGTTAGTTGTGGGATGTTGACGTCTCTGTCTGTCCGTCCGTCTGTCTGTTTGAGCATGTATGTATGTATGTATGTACGCATGTATGTGGAACACGAGCCCTTCACCAGACGTTGTCTTCAGGCCGCAGCGTTGGCGGCTTTGTGCGGCAGCGTGGGTTTGGAGAAGCTGCAGGAGGAGGCCTCACGAAGTGTACTCCAAGAACCATTAGGGTTTAGGGGCACTGGTAAATCCCCATGCTGAGAACAACGGCCAGCCTACGACAACAACCCTAAACCCTAAGCCCTTAGACTAAACCCTAAGCCCTAAACCCTACCCTAAACCTAGCCCTAAGCCCTAAACCCTACCCTAAACCTAACCCTAAGCCCTAAACCCTACCCTACCCCCCAACCCTAAAACCAAGCCACCAGCATAAACGCAGCCTGGTTTCCAGGGCTCTACTACCGAAGCCCTGGCTCGGATCCTCAGAGGGTCAGAGGTTTCCTTTGAGGTCTATGTGGAAAAGGCTTGATTATTCTTCGTGTGCGTGTATGCATTTGTACATGCACTTTCATATGCATATGCATATGTATGTATGTATGTATGTATGTATGTGTGTATATACATATATAACTATAACTGCATGTATGCATATTTATATGTACATGTATATTTATTTGTTTGCCCAGTTCGCTTATAGTACTCCCCACTATAGTCCTTGTACAGTTGTTCCCCCCACCACCCGTGTGTTAGGCCGAAGGCATGAAAACTGAGTCACCTGCCCGGTTGTGAGTTCAGGCATGAGGGTTTGAAATCGGTTAGGTGGCCCTCAGTAAGGTGTGTTATTCATCAGGGTTCAAAAGTGCATGTTCGTTCAACCGGTGGGTTCATGTTGAACACATGAAATGAACAGAGGCCCTTCCACGGCACCACTCCATGGAAGGTCACTTACTCGGCAAGTAGCCAGCAGAGAATTCGCAACGACAGTCTCCCATGTACTGGCGCTCCTGCGAGGATTCGAAACGCGGTGCGGAAGGCAGTGCGGAAGCATATGCCGTAGCAACAAGAGCCAGAAATCGAAGGCCTCACTGATTTTTAAGAAGAATATGTAGAAACAACGGACTAAACACCAAGGATAATGACTTGTAGCGGTTGGATGTCTCATAATGACTTTAACCAGGTTAATCGTACCACCACCACCACCACTACCAACAACAACATAAACCACAGCAGATTGGTATCAACGGCTTGTTACTTTTGAACAGCATCATTCGATATCTACCCTTTGCGTGACCAGGACCGCTGTCCTCGCTCTGTCGACCGTGACTTTCCTTTCTTTTGTCGCTATGTTTCTTGCTATTGTGGGTTCGCCTCTTGAAATTATGGCCACGAAGCATAGAGGCAGACGTGCGAACTTGAACACAGAGTTCACATGGATGTTGGCGGCGGTGCCTGCGTGCTTCAGGCTCAGGCAGCGTTCAGCATAGACTTTTGCCAGCAAACAGGTATCTGCATCCCATCGCTAGATCTATGGGGTTCTGGGAGTTGTCCGGACGGCCTTTGGATCAAATCCTTTGTATTCCCACGGCACGGTTGTAGTTCACCCTGTGCATCGCATTGGCAGCACAACGCCGAGCCAGCCAATGCCTTAGATCAAGCGGGTTGCCTGCGACTCACGTGCCTTCATAGGCCCTGCATCACTACAGTTCAGCACATGATCCGCGTCATGCGAGCGTGGTTCTTGGTGCTGCTGTGGGTGCACTTTGCAGGACCGTCGCGGCTGGGTCGGCAAAAGCCCTTGACCCTTAACCCAGAGGGGCAAACTTACAGTAGCTGGAGGCTCGCACTCAGAGCCTTGCATGACAGCAGTGCTGTGCTTGTGAGAAAAAAACGTCCAACCCGCTTTCCCCACGACAGAAACTCAAGTAGCCCAGCCGAACCCTTCAACCCTAAGCAGTTGCGCAAGTCTTACCACTGCATGAGCACGGCGGTGTTGGCCTGAGTTCCCCCTCTAGCTCTTTCGGCCCTAAGGGTGTCCAGACTTTCGGCGAAGCTGACAAGCCAAATCCGGACGAAGCCTTGCAAAATACAACCCTTCGTCAAAGCCCGAGATTAACATGCCCTGAAGAATTAGGAGCTTGTTTGCACGACCTAGGGCTAGTATGCTACTTTATGGGTAGCTGGAAGTACCATGCTCCCAGCCCTGGAGCTCAGCAGCTAAGATACACCAACCGGGCGCCCAAAGGCTTCCTGTCATCCCCAAAACAACTAAAGCGAAAAACGAAACCCCACTTTCGGTTGAGCCCTTTAGGCCCCAGACACGGAAAGACTGAAAAGGCCTGGGTGCCAGGCTTTTTGTTTAGGGGGCTTAGTGTTTGGGGTTGAACGCCTGATTCCCAGTTGTGAGTGCTGAAAATGCCTGGTTCCTCAGAGGAGCCCAGCCAGACTTCTCCGACTTCGCAGCGCTGGCAATCATTCTTCTAGGGCTTTGGGGTTGCGGGGCTTATCGGTTTAGTCTTTAGGTTTAATTTACAGCTTTGGGGTCGGGGCTTGTCGGGTTGGGGGTTTAGGGCTTCGGGGACAGGGCTTTTTGGGCTTTGGGGTTAGGGCTTCGCGTTCACGGCTTCGGCTTTTTCATTTTAGGCTTGAGGCTGTTAAGGGGCGCGGCCTTTTGGGTTGAAGGTCTGGAGGAAGAGAGCAGCAGGGACAGATGGTCGTAGCAGATTCAGCAGCAGTTGTCGTCGTCGTGATCGAAGTGGCACTCGAACGAGTATGCAGTAGGGGGGGTGCCGGAAACCATATTAAGGATGTTTTTGAATCAATGTCTTGAGCTTGACCTCCTCAGCCCTAAACCCTATTGACCCCTATTGACTTGAATTAGCTAACTATTGCGAAATCCGCGAAACCCTACAATATCCGTAAGCCTCAAACGTTGAAATTGACTGAGCCCAAGCCCTAAGTGCCCACACGCTCACCGAAACCTTGCAGAGCTTAATGCCGGAATGCCCATCCAAATGAGCCTGGCGAAGAATCTGTCAAAGGGGAAAAGGAGGGACCTTTAATGGGGACCCCTACCCCATAATGGGCTATATAATGGGTATATACTGGCTATATTCAGCGTACATACCTAGGGGTCCTTAGTAAGGGTCCCTCCTTTTACCCTTGGAGGAAAGGCTCAGAGCAGGCCTCCTGGTGGATGTGATGTTGCCCAGGCGTAGCCACGAGACTTCTTCAAAATGGTATTGTAGAAGTACCTAAACCCCCAAGAGTAGGTAAAATAATAGCCCAATACCAATAAAAGGATGTTATTCTACATACTTTGGGGGTGCAGGTATAGAAGCCCTCAACCCAACCGGTAAACCGGAGACCCTAAGGCAATCATAAGTGATTTTACCGGCCCCAAAGACAAGACAAGAACCGAGACGGTACTTTGAGGCTTCACTGAAAGAAGATCCCTGCCAACGAAAAGTGCCAGGATACAATCTACTTCAGCCATGCCGGCTCGGATCCCAGCATTTTCGAGTAGACCGGCACCTGCGTGAAGCCAGAACCTCAAGCCTTAATGCAGCCCTACAGTGGCGAGTTTGCCAAAGCTAAGCCGTACCTCAGACCCGCTTCAAAGGATCCTGAGTACCGAGCCCTAAACCACAAGCCCTCAGAAGTCTCCCATGCGACGCATCCCTTTACTTCCCATGTCTCAAGTTAGGAAATCAACTGTTGCTTGCTTGGTTGTAATGCTCGGGCAGTCAGATTTGGTTGGGTGTTTCAGTGCGACAAAAGGTGTTAATATCAAGCCAAGAAGCCCAACAGTCAGTTGTCAAGACCTACAAAATTGAAGAGCTAAATCCTGAAGTTCTACACTCACAGCCCCAGGATACTATCGAATGTAGTTGGTCACTTTGTTGATCTCGGATGTAGCACAACCATGCAGAAGGAGCTCTTCGTGGCCCCGTGATAATCACAAGCTCTCAGATGGAGAAGCGGTGTCCACAAAGTACATTACAGTATACCATGTTAATACATAGTATATTATTTAATGCAAGAAAGATGGAATGGCGGTCGAGGTCTAGGATGAAAGGATCTGGGACCCAGTGTGGGTTTCCGGCTTGACCACCGCGCAAGAGAGTTTGGGCGCAGGAATTTAAAAGCCAACATGCATTTTGGATGGCCTCTGAAAGGAAGAACAGCAACGGCTGTTGGCTTTCTCAGGGCAGCGATGGCGCGGAATGAACTTGTCGTGATGTTGCTGCTGTAAACTGCTTAGGAAGTGCTGAGCCCCGAGAGCCTGATCGACTCTTGATCGAAAAGACATAGAAAGACATAAGCTTTGACAAATACGTGCAGACAGAGAGAGGGAAAGAGAGAAACAGAGAGAGAGAGAGAGGGAGAGATTGAGAGAGCTTCGCAAAGACCCAAGACTAAGACCCTAAACCTACAAACCTTCTACATGACCCTAAACCCTAAACCCTAAACACCATAGTTCCTCACCCGGCCCATGGTTCCCAGGACCTGCCAATGAAATGCGAGCCCTCACCCTGCAGGACATCGCATGTTCGAAGACCTTTAGCTAGGTCCATTTGTGATACAAGACCGACACTTAGGGCCTATACCTCTAAACCTAACTTATACCCTGTAATGCCGGACAGGACTGGTCCGAGTGAAAAAAGAACCAGGGTTCTCGGGCTTTG